GAGACAGGAAGCCAGAGAGTCTCAAGCTTGTTCTTTTAAAACACACCTCCTAGTAGTAGATTAAACTCAGACACTGGCGTCAGCCCCTTCTGAGGGTAGCACCTGGTGACCCAGTCACCTCCCATCAGGCCCCACTGAATACCACAGCAGCCTCACAGGGATGAATCAAATCTGTTAGCAACGGCCAGGGTAAGGGCTCAAGCATGGGCTGAGGCCTCCTTTGAGGGAGGCAGGGGGTCAGCTTCTGAGGCTGATGAGATGTCTGTAGCCTGGCGGAGGCAGACGGACAACAGATTACCAGAATTTGCGTGGGTGGGGCTTCCTCAGGGACACATTCCTTGAGGAGGAATTACAAGGATCTTCAAACTGGGGGTGTGAGCCAGGCCCAGGAGGGGAAGAGCTGGGCCATGAGGCTGTTTGCCTTCTGCAGTGACTTGCTCATTCTGACCCACAGGGGAAAACAGTTACCCCTCTGGGTAAATGACAGAGTGCCTAGATAAGAAAAAAATAACAATTTGAATTGCTGAAAAGATTGCTCAAGAGGCAAATTACAGGAGGGCTAACAGGACAGTTTTCAAAGATGCTTTGATACAACTCACACTAAATTATCCTCAGAACTGCTGATTGCAACAAAGTCCAACTCAGCCAGGAATTCTGAGAGGGGGCAGGAGGGGTATGGTGATAATTTTTAATTATCAAGTATCATTCATACAGGTTTTCTTTGCCTCTATCAGACACAGCAGAAGTGCTGGACTCAACATTGTCATCATAAACATTGCCGATTCTGGTCCATGGAGGCTCTGGCCCTGGAGGGAGTGGCCTGCCTTCTGCCTTCTTAGGAGCTGAGCCCTCCAGGAACTCAGACTCTGTATTGCCTGGGGTTGGAATAGGAGAGACTGGTCTTGGTGCCCAGGTCATCTGATGCTGTGAGACATTTTCCTTACATTAAAAAGAAGGAATGGTGCTAGGCGGTCCCTGAGACCCTACCAGCTGGTGCACTCTGTCCTGGGAGTTAGATCTCTCTTAGGGAAGCTCAGGATGCCCTCAGAACCTATGTGTGTGTCAGCTGTTTATTGATGCCTGTGCCTTAATAGCTTCAGAGGGGCTTCTCTCAGCAGTTAGGTCTCTGTGTGGGACCTCCAGCCAACGCATGCATCTTATAATTCATTTTGGCTTACATGGGATTTTTGGTGTTTCCTGGGTTTTCTTGAAGGACAACCTAAGAAAAAAGTTTCCTTATTTCAAGGGAAGGAGACGAAAGTCTTCCTATCTTCTATCTTCCTTATTCTTAACTATAGATGAATTGTTAACAACAAAAAGCAATTACAAAAGAAGAAACTGGCATGTGGTTCTCAAGTAAAGCCCTTTTCTTTCTGTTGGGACACCCCAGGAGGTGCAGATCTGAAACCCCTGAGCTGGAGAGAACAGCTCCAGGTTAGAGAAGGGAGAAACCAGCCCTGGTGTGGAGAAGCCAGTCCTGGTGTGGAGACCCCCCTTTCTCACTTGAGGAGCAGCACGCACACTCAGTGCCACTGAGGCAGGGCATCACCCTTATCCTCCTTCCAGACAGCCAACATGCACCTAGGTGGGTGTAAAGGATGGGGAACAGTGGCCATGTTTCTTTCTCCTGCCTCTCATAATGTAAAACTCTTGTCAGGCTAAGTGTTTACCAAAGAGCATTTCTCCCAGGGCCACGGCCCTATTATAATCAAGTATGCTGGACTCACTGTTGTGCATGTCTTTTGGAGGATTTGGAAATGATCTGTACTACACACACACACACACACACACACACACACACACACACACACATACACCACTTGCCTCTAACCATTCTCATTATGCCTGGGCTATTTTCCCCACTTTGCTGGGCTCATAATACTTTTATCTTTTTTTTTTTTTTTTTTTTTTTTTTACGAGGCAGGGTTTCTCTGTATTGTTTTGGAGGCTATCGGTCCAGCCCAGCCTCGAACTCACAGCGATCCGCCTGCCTCTGCCTCCCCGAGTGCTGGGATTAAAGGCGTGCGCCACCACCGCCCGGCTACTTTTATCTTTGTGGGTTTCAAATCTTATATTTCTATTTGACATGTGCACACACCCATGTGATTTTCCCATTCTTATTACACAGTCTTAATAGAAATAATTCCAATTTAAATATGTAAATTGTTTCTCTGATAGATTCCAGGGAGTGAGCCACAGGACAGAGACAACCTAGAGGGCTTACTGTGTGGTCTGAGGTTGCTCAATTTCACACCCATACTGTCAGCCTGCATAATGTTTCTGACATGGCCTGCCTGGGGGAAGTGTAAAGCTGTACTTTTAGTTTGTTCAGTTTGACTTTCACTTTTGGGTGTAGATTGCCTTGCTTGGTTTGATTTACTCAGAATGTTGCGTTCCTTCTTTTCCTTTTGTCAGTCACGATTTGACCCACTCATACTGGCTTTTTTTTTTTTTCCTCCAAATGTGACAGTGGTCTGGCCACTGTCAGTCATTGCTCTGCCGATGTCCCCTCCTTTTTCTCACTGATTTTGGGCATGGCCAGGGTGTTTGCTAGTCATGGCTGCCACCCTCACTGTGTGTAAGTCCCCTCCTTTTCGCTTGCGTGTCTGCGTGGCAATGCCATACTTTTAGGATCAATAAAACACACGGCCGTCTATTGTCCTCATATATCCTCCCCTCAATGATATGATTAGTCACATAGACCATCCTCTGTGCCTCAAACCCTAACGGTATCCATGTATTCTCCACATTGCCAGGGATTTCGCTTCTTTTGTCTATACGAATGCTAGCATTATGTGAGATTTCTCCAGTACTTACATTAGTCATTTGCAGTTTCCATTAGCACTGTTTTATTAAAGAACTGTCAATCATTGGATGTATAAACTGTGAAGCTGCAGAGTGAACAAATGGAGCGAATGTTAAGGTGAGTATCTGGATTCGATTGGTATTCCTGGGCTGGGACGCAGGCTCACACACTATGTGGGGTCTCCAAGGACTTGGAGCAGCGCCACCAGGCCTGACCAGTTTTATGTGATTGTTAGATATTAGCTGCAGCTTTTGTAGTAGCCTGACCATTTAATCTGAATAAAATAAATAAAAAACCTAGTTCCTTCTCAAAATTCTTTCCAAGTCTTTAGCACTTAGCTGAGAGAGTATCACCTTCATATTGTGGTTAAGATTTAATTCCGAGCTGTTTCTTGCTTATTTTCTTCTTTATTCTAGGATTGACTACTTTCTCTCCTCATTTTCTTGACCTTGTTGATTATTTTTAAGAATCTGTGACCTTCTATAGGCCAGGTATTACTCATGGGGCCCTAGAATGAATGACCAGCCAATGGTCCTTGTGTGAGTGAGTTCACAGCTCCTAGGGGACCGATCCCTAACTGATGCTCCACAAGATGGGCTTTGTGTGGGGCCTTGAAGGAAGAGAAGGATTTAGAGGACAGGAAACGAGCATGTACTCCTAGGAAGAACAGGGAGAAAAGGTGGTAACCCAGGCTACTTTGTGGGGGATTCAGGAGGGGCAACTGAAGGGCAGTTTAGACCAACTGGTGCCTCAGCAACCTTTAGACTCTACTGTTTGGTGCTTCTGTGCAAAAGAGTGACAGAGGTGACACCAGCTCATGTGTGGGATACACATTTGAAAGGGAAATACTACAGGACTAGGGGGCTTCAAGATCCATCTATTTTTTCACTAAACCATGCTCATCACATGCCTGATGCCCAGTGGGGACCTGGTACTATGTCACTGCCCTAATGAGGTAGACTCACATAACAAGTCAAGTGTGGTGGCACATGCTTATAATCCCAGAGCTGGGGAAGTGGTAAGATAGGTGACTCCCCAGGGTACACTCTGGCCTAGTCAATGATCTCCAAGCAATCCTCTCTGCCTCAGAAACTAAAACAAAACAAAGCAAAAAAAAAACCCCACAAAAATAGGGTGGATTGTACCTGAGGAATGACAGCTGAGGTTTGTCCTCTGACATCTATACACATGGACATGTATGAGCACGCATACTCCTGCATGCATATGTATCTATACTCACATGAGCATGTACACTCTCACATGCAGATGTATCTATTCACCCATGAGCATGCACACTCTCACCTGCAGATGTGTCTATACACACATGAACATGCATACTCCCACATGCATATGTATCTGTACACACATGGGCATGCATACTACTGCATGTGTATGTATCTATACACACATGAGCATGCACTCACACACATACATATATGAGTAAATGAATAAATACAAGCAAATACATAAACAAATAGTTCTCCTTTGGAGTCTGGTTTTCAGGGGCTGAGTCTGATTTGCAGATGAATGCTCAGTGCCCTGCTCTCCTCCTGTGCCCTTAAAGACATATTCCTCTGTCCTTATATGTCAGCCCAGTTTCCTGGTGATACCTCCGCCCCTTTTGCTACCATTTCTATCATGTTGGAAATTATCTAAGAATTCAGCTGGAAAACTCGGGCTTCCTTGGATAAATGCATCTGCAGAGCCTCCATGATAAAGTTAGGCTTTAATCAGACCAGGTAAGGCAGGACCTATATGTGCACAGCTTATCCTTCAGTTATGACTTGAACTTGGCTCCTGTGTTCTCAAGAACAAACTCCCAAGGGAATGGTACATCCTGCAGGGTTCCCACTGAAGTGCAGAAACCAGGAGAACTGACCATGTGTCCTGACTGTGCTCATAGCCCTCAGCACCCCACAGCTGACTATGGAGAGCTGACCATGTGTCCTGACTGTGCTCATAGCCCTCAGCACCCCACAGCTGACTATGGAGAGCTGACCATGTGTCCTGACTGTGCTCATAGCCCTCAGCATCCCACAGCTGACTATGGAGAGCTGACCATGTGTCCTGACTGTGCTCATAGCCCTCAGCATCCCACAGCTGACTATGGAGAGCTGACCATGTGTCCTGACTGTGCTCATAGCCCTCAGCATCCCACAGCTGACTCATGATCCTTTTCTCATCCTCTGACCAGGAATCTCACGTCATTTCTGCTGAAGTTGGAGAAAAATGTGAAGCTATAGGCATGAAGCTCCTGCACCTCGAGGATCAACTTCAGAGGGCGATCCACAGTCACGATGAAGCTCTCTTTCATATCCTTTCCATTTTTCAGAAGTTACTTTGCAAACAAAAGTCTAAAAATGCATACCACTTCCCCATGACCCTGCAGATGGAGGTGAATTGATGCCACTGTTATTTGTAGTTCAGCACATCTTGGATCCGAGTTAATTCTGTATGGAGCACTTCACCTCTAGTTTCTGTAAACAATCCAATATTTTCAGTTATTAAACCCAGCTGCTAAGTATTAGCCACAGAGTTCAGATAGGCATATAGCCAAAACCAAGGTAAAATGGAGTTTTGGGGTCTGTGTGGCCATAGGGAAACAACCAGAAAAAAACCAAAGCAATTTTACTGGCTCACCTCCTTTGGATATCAAGAAGATATCCAATGTCTTCTTTGAAGTCCTTTGTCTTGCCTTCTACATGTCATAGATACTGGGGTATCAAAACTAACACCACTGCGGGTACCTTCTTTCTGATGTCTAACACATACTCATGGTTAAACTTCACATAATCCTTCTTGATAATTACATTTTCTTACACCAAACTCAGTATCCTAGTGCCTCATCTGCAGACACCTACATCAGAGCCAGCTGCCCAAGTCAGGTGGCAAGAGGACACATGAGCTCAATTGTGTATGCAGTGAGTGTTAGGATTTATTGACAGAACCAGAGTTAAGGTTTAGCAGCAAAGTATCTTGGTGGGTCCAGGCCAAGGCATGTTATAAAGAGACCACACCACACAACAGATCTCACACAGAGATTTATTGGGGTGGGAGGAGAAACTGGCTGTCTTGGAGTGGGGACATGAGAGAGAGAGAGAGAGAGAGAGAGAGAGAGAGAGGAGAGAGACAGAGACAGACAGAGAGACAGAGAGAGGCAGAGACAGAGACATACAGAGAGACAGAGAGAGACAGACAGACAGACAGAGACACAGAGAGATCAGAAGGCAGAGACAAAGAACAAGAAAGGGCTATGATACCAGGAGGAACTTTTTAAAGGACATGCATGTCACATTGGAAAAATACGCAACTTGTAGTGGCATTGGAAATGTTCAGCACCTGTCAGAGATGGACGATGGTGTTTGGGGTCTGCTGGTGCCAAGTCCCTGCAGGGCAGGTCAAGTCACTAATTTCAGTGGGAAGCGTGCATCCCTGGTGATGTATGCACGCTATTTGTCAGTGGCGAGCTCTTTGAAAGAGTGTGAATGGGTTCTGTCCTAGCTTCATTTCTAGTTACTGTAATACGACACCCTGACCAAAAGTAACTTAGGTTTTATTTGGATTACAATTTAAAGGGTTTATTTAGCTTACACTTCCTGATTAAATTCCATCACTGGGGGAGGTCCAGATATGAGCTCAAGTGCTAGACTAGTCACGTCACACCCACAGTTAAAAGCAGGGAGAATCAGATGCCCCATGATGCCTTCGTGCTTACTTGTTTTGGCTTGCTTACTCAGCTAGCATTCCCCTCTCCTGGACAAGAGAGGGTGTAGCATGATGTCACCCACAGTGGGCTAGATCCTCCTATTTCAATTAGCAACCAAGAGCCCCTGCCCCCCCCAACCTGATGTGGACAATTCTTCAACTGAGGTTCCCTTCCCAGGTGATTCTAAGTCCCAGCAAGGTATCAGTTAAAAAGTTGCACAGGGAGCCGGGCGTTGGTGGCGCACGCCTTTAATCCCAGCACTCGGGAGGCAGAGGCAGGCGGATCTCTGTGAGTTCGAGGCCAGCCTGGTCTACAGAGCGAGTTCCAGGACAGCCTCCAAAGCCACAGAGAAACCCTGTCTCGAAAAACAAACAAACAAAAAAAAGTTGCACAGGGACACAGATGGGGAAGGCATGCTTAGCCTACCACGAATCCCTCAGCTAATTAGTCACAAGTGGCCTTTGTAGCTGTAGTTGCCTCCTTGTCTATTACTCTCTGTTTGATATGCTGACTTTTAAATGTTTGTGGGAAATTTAAGCATTTTTTCTTTGTTTCTTACTGCCTGACTTTTTAGAACCTTAGTTTCTATTTTACTTTATCTCCATGCATATATTTAAGAAGCTTTGAATAGCCAAAGATTGTCTTACTCAGAAGTATTCAGATGTGTGGCTAATAATGGAGTCAGCATATTTCGTGATAACTTTACATCTTTGGCCTTGCTTGTTAACTCAGCAGGCTGTTCCCTGAATACTTTCTGCCATCCTTTCTACATTTTTAAGAATACTGTTCTGTACAGCGCCCTGCCTCTTCCAACTCCAGGATGTACTCTACTACTGCACAGTTGTCCAGGAACAGGAGAAGGAGGTAGAATGTTAGATCACAGACTTCTTCTAAGGGACATGCTGTCTATGAAATAGGACAGCGATTATTGCCAGGTAATGACACAGAGCCAAAGACTGGAGCAGGGGTGGGTCTGCCCTGACAGGGAGGGGTTGGGACAGCTGAGTGGAACATGGCTCATGCTCCAAACTGTCATGATGGGAAGGCACAGTAACTGGTAATGCCACCCATGGTATTGGGTGTTTGTGGCATGGCTTCTTACATTTTTAGTGGCTCAGGAAACAGAGAGCTCAGGTCAGAAGTAGGGTACAGGGGATGAGGATTAAGGCCCTCCAGGCTCATCTCTTATACCTGTCAGGAGCCGCCTCTTAAGAGTTCCACAACCCTACCACATAGCACTACCAGCTGTAGACCAAGTGTGCAAGCACTTGAGCCTGTCGAGGACATTTCAAATGAAGACCATCCCACTAGGGGCAGGAAGTACTGGGTTAGGTATGACATCTGCCCCTCCTTAGATAACAACTATACCACAATACTTATTTACCCTGGCTTTCCTCTGAGATCCAAGCCATGTTGTGTGCCACTGAGCAAGAATAGCGTACAGAATGTGTCTTTAAGCTCCATGAAGTAGCACTTGAATTTGAGTTTAACAATGGGCCCAAGGAGTTCACAGAGCTCTGTGGGACTCCTTAACAAACAAAAGCTGTTGTTTCAAATTAGAATTTATCAAAGCATCCAAAGAGGCTGCAGGACTCCCCCAGCCAAACTCTGGCTGCTGTGTGTTTTCATTTGCAATCAAAGGCACAATGCTAAGTGTGGCTGAAAAAAAACCTTGCAACCAATAACACAGAAGAGCAGCGCAGGGAGGGGGGTGTCTCACTTGATTCCCTTAAGCATGCTGCCAGGACCCGCTGTGCACACGTAGGAGATGATGCGTGTTTAGTCCAAGTCTACGCTGCAACATGCTGATGTAAACCCACATGGGACACCTTTCTGGAGGATTTGAGTTCCAGATTCTATGGCTGTCCATCTTTTCTGGGGGTATGTCCTTTAAGCCACATTCCTGCGGGAACCAAGTGGGTGGTGTGCCAGTGTGTCATACACAGAGGGGTGGGCTGGGGACATGCAATATGGAGGGGACTCCTAAACCTTCAACAGTTCTTATACAGCCTGTTAGTGTCAGTCTGCCCGGTGGGAGAGAAAGGCTGGGTTGGCAGAGCTGAGGACAGAGGAAACGGATAGGCTGTTTCTTTGTCATCCTGGCAGGCTTCCTCAGTTACAGGCATTGTGTACACACCCCCAAACCATCAGCTGAGGTGACTGTGAGCCTCTGAACTGCAAGGTTGACTGGGAGAGCAGGCGGTGGGGAGGGGCACTTGATGCCTCTAGAGACAGGACCGGGATGCGACTTCACAGCTAGGCATGCTGGGATCCATTAGCAGTGGTCTGAACCTGCGGTGTGACTTCACAGAGTCTGGATTCTAATTAGCAGTTCCATTCTGAACACCCTTTAGTCTGTGTAGCTGCTCCTCCACGTTCAGAATGCTTTAACTGGGCAGCATTTAGGCTTGGGGAAATTTTAGGCAGCATCCCCATCCCCCGCTTCTTTTCCTTTCACTTCCATAGCTCACCGTAGGAGGAAAGGAAGCACAGCATAGCCCCAGGCAGTTCTGCCAGCCTCTGCTGAGTCATGGGTGAACAAGGACCAGGCTGAGTCTATTTACATAGCATTTGCATTCCTGTCCAGAAGCCCTCTAGGGAGCCTATTCTCTCTGCTCATTGGGAATGCACGGTGCCCAATTGATTCGTCTTGCTAGCCTTGATGGCATGCAGAGACTAAATGTATCCAGGCTCATGCATAAACTCCACAGCCCCAAAGGGCTCCTGTCTGGTTCCACTTTCCAGTGTGTAGCCTGAAGAGGCCAAGGTAACAGAGCTGAGGGGGTGCTTGCCCTGCCTCCTTGGAAATGTTCTTTTGCTTCTAAAACTAAAGAGGAGGCAGGATGTCTCTGAAGAGCTTCAGTAGTTTACAGTGGGAGAGCAGAGAGCTAGGCAGGCTGCTCTCTGAGGTGTGGTGCATACCCCACTGATTGAGGGGTGGCCGCCATGTGCTTCCTTCTGCTTCTTGCTGAGGTCTGGGTAGGAAAAGTTGGAGCAGACAATGTGTGCAGACCAGGCTGGTCCTACTACTAGTGGGACACAGTAGGAACTTATCATGAAGTTGGTGACACAATCTCCCTGGGCATATAGTAGGTCTTTTTGTCATTAGTGGACAGGATTTGGGTCACTAGTGGACAGGATTTGGTCTCCAGGTTCTTGGTATCTTATTCAAAGTACTGCAATAAGTATGTACAGATGTGTGGATATTTTCTCCACAGTTGTTCAGAAGATGAGGAACTGATTTCATTGCTCAGAGATGGGTGGGCCTATGGCTAATAGATTGCTGAGTGCGTTATTCTCAGGATGAATGTGCATAGCACTTGCAGGTGAGAGTCTTAGGTTGCCGAGTGCATTGTTAGAAGAGAGATGTATGCACAACCAAAGCCTAGTGGAGTCCTGGTTGTTAAGTGATTCCCTATGCTTGCTTACTTCCTGGGTGTGTCCGGACAGGGCTTTCCTCAAGGCTCACAATGACTGGTATCTTGCCCCTGGCTTCCCATACAGATCAGTTTTCTGCCATAGTCCACAATGGCTACAGAGGATTGTGTGTTGTGTTTAATCTCAGCTACTTGGGAAGGTGAGGCAGGAGTATCTCAGGTTTCAACCTCAAAGCTCTACCAACAGAGCTCTCTCCCAGCCCTGAGACCTACTTACTTTTGGCTACTAAGAAACCCCAGTGAAGATAAAATATTCCATTCCTATCACATTAAATAAGACTCCATGGAAGACTTCAGTTTTCTGCAAATGGCTGCCCTTCTGGATAGTATGGCCTGACCACTGCATTCCCAGTATTCTAAAGTCTCACATCTAGTCGACAGCACAGTCATTTTAACAAATCACCTGCCTGTCTAACAAGTGGGTAGTGTAATCTGAGTTGATGAAAATGAAAATGCCCTTGGGTTCCAGAAGTATTTGGCAGATGCCTTGTGTCCATCCCCTTGATGTAATTTTATGATCATTAATGTAATGCTTTTCTTAGATACCCCAATGCCTAGCAGTGTTCTGGGGGACTCTGACCCCCAGCTATTTGGATTCAGGAAGCTCAGATCTATCTGTAAGACTCACACAGCTCCTTGGGGGACTTGTTCTTGTGTGGATGCAGTTAGCTCTAGTGCTGGAGTTGGATTTTTCACACTTTCACAGAAGCCAAGGTCGTGTATGTCAGTGGGCTTCAGTCTTGAGCTTATTGTATTCCCAATGCAGAGATGGAAAGCCAGCCCTGCTGTCCTGCTTAGCAGCCTGAAGATCTTGGTTTGGGGCTGTAGCGTAGTTGGTAAGTAATCCTTTGCCGCCTCACCCCCTTACCCTTCTACCCTCACAGCCGCTGCCACGAGTGCCTCATGATTCCCGTGTGACTCTTCAGGGCATCCAGTGTACCGAGCCAGGGCTGCCATCTCCCTGGAACTACCAGCACGGCCAGCACGCCACCACATGCCTGCATGTTTGTCTCTGCTCTCCTCACAGGTTTTTAACCCCCACCAAGAGCCAATTCTGGGCTGTTTTGAGGGGGAAAACACCCTATACCCAGTAGGGGCAAAGCTACAGCCAGCCTATTGAATGAGAGCAGAAAGAAGTCCCGTCTGCATATTCCTTTCTCCCAGCGTAAAGTGAGGAATATTTGTGAATGCTTTCTCGGACATGCGGGAAGCTTCTCAGAGGCTTGGGGGATTTAAACATCTCCCTCCCAAGGCTGCTGTCTGGAAGATGCTGCCATTGTATCTTACATGGCTTATCTCTGGAGCATTTCTTCCAAAATTATTCCATAGAACTGCTCTGTGACTGCCTTCCCACCCCCACCCCAGTTCCATTTTCATTCTGGACTTTTCTGTTTCAGCACACATCAACTGTTTTGCCCACCCCACCCCCCATCCCCTTATAACATGTGGCTGAGATCCACAAGGTGACGTTTTGTAAATAGGAACATGATTTTTTTTTTTAAAGATTGGGTTTTTGTTTTTAAGTGTGTGTGTGTTGGGGGGTGGTTATATGCGTACATGAGTACAGGTACCTGTGGAGATCAGAAAAGGATGTCTGATCCCCTGAACCTGGAGGGACAAGCAGTTGTGGGCCACCTGATGGACTGGAGTCTTCTGCAAGAGCAGCAAATGCTCTCAACTGCTGGGCTGTCTCTCCAGCCCCTGTGAATGGGATTTTTAATTGTATTAGTGTTTCTTATACCAAAGGCTTTGTAAATGAGGTTTTCAGGTACTGTGCTGGGAAATCAGCCATAAACCTTGTGGTACCTCATGAAAAGCTCTCTCTCTCTCTCTCTCTCTCTCTCTCTCTCTCTCTCTCTCTCTCCCCTCCCTCCCTTTCCCTCTACCCCCCCCCATTAGGGCCCTGCCTCTGTGACTAAGCTGTGAGATTCTATAGTTTACAGATGGGACAATTAAGTACACATGATGATTTTCCCAGCTTCCCAGGGGACTTGCCTTCTCAGAGCCCATCTTACTGACTCTTGGGTGCAATAATGGAAATTATTATGTGTGAAACTGACGTGTTAATTTTATAATTTAGTCTTTTCCTCTGGTGGCTTTTCTCTGTCCTCAGCCTTTTTAGTTTGCTCTGTGGTCCCAGAAGTTTTCTGAGCACCACTGTGTGGCTTCATTTCTCTCTGTAAGAACCTCTGTCATCACTTAGCAGAGAATAGGGTGCTGTGTTACCCCAGACCAGTGTCAGAGGTAATCAGACCCCAGGCTGGTTTCAGGATTTAAGGCCTCTGTGCACACTGCTCACTCCTTCCAAGAGACCAGACCCTGGGACCCATTGCAGCTTGGTGTTCAGTCTGGGACACATGTTTTGACTTTCATAAAGTTATATGACACCCCTCCCCAAGATTATAGGCCTTTCCAGAGGTCAGGAGGATAAAAGCACTTTTACAACAACACACAAAGGCGTTTCAGTGGATGGCGTCTTCTCTTGCTCTGCCTATACTATACCACCCTTATTCCTTCAAGTTCAAGTGCACATGGTGGACCATCCTGGTAGTGTATGCACATGACCCCCAAAATGAAATCTGCTGAAACTTCCAGAAGATTTAAAAATTTTTTTTGAAAAATTTCCAGGGTGGACTGGCTTTCTGTTTGGGAAAGGCTCATTTGTATATTTCCCAAGATCCGATGGAGCTTCTTATTCTGAGAAGATTGGGAGAAGTTTTATTAGTTACACCCCAAGGGCGTGGCTCTCTTTGGACCTGTGTTGACATTGAACCTGAGGAGAGCAACATTGCAGTGCAGGTGGCCTGCAGCCTGCAGAGTCTCTGCACTACCCTCAAACTCTGCTTCTGCCTTGTCTGACTTCATGGTGACTTGATCTCACCTGAAGAGCTGGGTGTAGTTAGGCACTGTCAACTTATTTCTCCTTCCCCACTGTCTTTACTGGAAGAGATTGCATTCCTTTGCTTGCTCAACCCAACTTAGAGTTTTGACAGTGGCACAGCAGGAAGAGACAGGGGACCTGATTATGTAGGAACAGAAAGACTGCTGTTGGTTAAGTGTTTTGTTGAATGTCTAGAGAACCAGTTTCTTGGGATAGCCCTTATCTATCCTGTGTTATCATTTGCTATGTACTTTATGGCTGTTTTCTTGGAACTGGCAGAATTCATGATGGGTTTTAAAAGAGGAAGTATAAAACTTACACCAGTACTAAATTGCTAGAGTTTGGAAGGACATGGAGCTGTGATTCAATGTTGGTGTCCACCTGCTCTCTGAAGGCTGGTTTGCTCCCACAGGCCCTATGTGTGCTCCTTAACAGCATCCACAGTCTCTCCAAGGGGAGCTCCAGATGGTGAAGGAAACACTGCAGGCCATGATCCTGCAGCTCCAGCCAACAAAGGAGACAGGAGGAGAAGCCACAGCTTCCCATTCGACAGCTGGTGTTCAGGAAGCACAGGCCTGAGGTGTGAGCATGGAGTGGGAGCTGGGGAAGGGGTGGGCCACATGGCGTCAGTGTAGAGAGGGGGCTGGAGAAAGAGTGGGCCACATGGCATCAGTGTGGAGTGGGGGTTGGGGAAGGGACAGGTCACATGCTATCAGTATTGAGTTTGGGGGCATGGAGGTGGGCCACCATGGCATCAGTATTATTCTGGTCCAGCCACTCTCCCTACATTTACCCATGTGCCTGGACCAATTCCAAAACATAGAGCTGTGCTGTCCTCCTGTGGCAAAGTGGCCCATGCTTTGTCACAGACTGAGTTGGGAGAGTGACTTGACACCTTTTCTCCTAATTGTCACCAGAGGTTGCTGTCCCATGGCACGATGGGAGCATCTATTATGGGAGCTGATAGGCATTCCTTCTTGACTGGGCGAATTTTCCTGGAGTGTGTCTCTTTTCTCACTACCATTTTTGTTTTCTGCTGCAGTGTGGTCTTTCTCCATTCAAGAGCCTCTGAAGGGGACAAACCTGAGATGGCCACTGCACCTGTCACGTCTGTCTATGGGCACTCCAATGCCTTATGCCCCGGAACCTCAGTGTCTCTTAACTGCCCAGGTCACTTCCCTGGGGCTCTGCTGTCTCAGGAGACTGCCACAGGGCACTTTCACAGTACCTCCTCAAGGTGCCGCCTTTGTGTTCTCCAGCCATGACTACAGCTCAGAAAGCCCCCCTTCCCCGGCCAGAGGCTCCAGATCTTTCTGAGATTCAGGCCTGGGAGGTGGGAATGTGGGGTGGGTGCAGATGGAGACAGGTGCCGGTCTCCCCAGTTCCCACTGAACCTATTATTCCCTTGACTCCAAGGAGTCACGGTGAGGAGCCACTCAGGTCCCTGTGAATTGCTCCTTGGGCCCAGCTGAGGCTCCTGCCAAGGCCACTGCAGCCAGGCTGTTCAAGTGGGCTCAAGGGGTGTACTAAGAAAGTGTGCTAGCTAGTTTCCTGTTGCTGTGAAAAACTATCTGGCAACTGGAGGGAGGCGGGGAAGGAGGGCTCGCTGTGGCTCATGGTTTGAGGCTATAGTCTACCACAGTAGGGAAGGCATGGCAGCGGGAACATTAGCAAGCTAGTCACACTGCATCCTCAGCCAGGAAGCAGAGAGAGACAAATGTGCTTCTATCTCTTCCTCCTTTGGATTCAGCACAAAATCCCAGTCCATGTGAGACGCCACCCACATTTGTGGTGGGGTTTCCCTCAGTTAAATCTCTTTGGAAACATTCTTCACCCTTACAGACTTGCTTAGAGCTTTACATTCTAGGTGATTCTGAGTCCAGTCAAGTTGATAATGAAGATAAACTACCACAGGAGGACACCTCAGAGACACAGTCTGTTTGATGAGAACGGACATTATAACTCCTGCTCAAGAGCCACAGATCAACTCAGCTAGCCACCCTGTGAGGGCTCACCAGCCTGCCAACTCCTACCTAGCTTCCATATCCCCAAATCCAACGGACTTTGTAATCTCCATGTAAACCTGTTCATCCTCCCACTCTTGGGGTACATTGTGCTGTACCGCTTGGGATGACCCTCGTGCACCTGTGTCTTGGAGATCAAGCCCAACATTCTTAGCTGTTGAGCCTAGTGGAGTCTGATGTGTCTGCCCTGGAAGGCCTCTCTCTCTCTAAGGTGCTCTGCCTACCTCTCTGTGGACAGGGATGGAGATGCTCCTACCTCTGTCTGGGCCCATGGGTCCACAGCTTTTAACTCTTCCTAATCACTCTGCCATTTCTGGAAGGCACCTGGTGCTTCTCCAAGCCTTCCATGCCGAGGACCACTTTGCCTGCTTGAAGACACATTTTGCATATCTGAATAAGAAATATGTTTAGTTTGTTCCCAGACTTAATGTTTTTATAGTGAACCAAATCCCTGAATCATGTACAATTGTGCCTCTGAAAGTCTGGTGAACTAGTTATATGAGTCCCAGAGCCCCTCAAATCATTGACTTAATTCTTGTGGAGCAAAACTTGAAGTCAGGATCACCCCTGTTGCCAAGAATGTTCTTAACTTTGACACTTGAGAAAAGATGCTTCCCAGGCAACAAGGTGCATGACAGTCACTGCTAGCCTGAGTGTTTTATGTGATTCAAACATCACTGTAACATTCTGTGAGGTCATGATGCATTTGAAAGTTTAAGGGACTGAGAAATCACTGGAGTCCTCAGTACAGGGAGGGACAGCTGAGACTCCTGGGCAAACATTGGTATCAGTGTCTGGGCGGGTGAGCGACACCTCAGTCACATGTTGTCCCACACCTCTAGGCATCCTCTGGTCTTGGAGCACCATCCAGGTTCAGTGTCGAAATTCTGGTGTTTCCTGTGGCCACACTGTCTTCTCATGACAACCTTTCTCTCATTAGCCTCTTGAGCCCCAGGAGATCCAGGACCTGTGGATCCCCAAACTATAGGACAGGACAGGTCTTTACAGAGCCACATACAAATGCCAAGGGATGTTGGGGCTTGTGTTTAGACTGTTAAGAGATGATCAAGACCCCAGCAAAGGTATGTGTTGAAAGTAACAGTTTATCCTCTTTAGAACAAATGACACCATCTCATTCTTCCTTATGACGACAGTACACACATACATCTTATAAGTATGCTATATTTTCTTATAGTCTCATCTATTGAACTGATTTCATAACCCATCCATGAGTAGTGTCTGATTTCCCTGTGATGCTCAGCAGGGGAGGAAGTGGTACACGGCCACCTTGTTGGAAAGCTGGACCTCAGAAGGCAGCCAGCTTGAGCATCTTCACTGCCTCATCACTACCAGGTCTAGCTCTTGAAACTTCATGGTATTGATCACCCGCTGAATGAGGTTAATATGTCGCAATCGATTCCAGGTTTGCTTTCCTTGGTAACGAGGCTGGCTCCCTCCCCAGGAGAGCATGTGGAGGGCCACCACTCGGAGTCCTTCACAGACAGTCCTGCAATGGCACTTCAGCCTGAAGAGGTAGACTCTATAGATGGTGCTCATTAGCCTCAGGAAGGCAGAGTCCCCTTCCTAAGGTCCAGAGCTGGCTTCAAAGTAGGGCCATTGGGAATCCTGACCACCACAGGCAGCTGTTCCTAACCGATGTCCTTCCTAAAGTGCCTTTGATGTCCTCTCTGCATTTTGAGCTATAAAACTCATTCACCAGCTAAAAACTATGACTACCCTGTGAATTCTGCCTGAGAGTGAAAGACACTGAACTCAGAGCAACTCAGAACCCCACACCCCCAGCAAACCCTACTGTGTAGCTGGGTTCTGATTGGCTGCAGCAGTCCCAACCTTTATCCATTGTCTTTTCTGGTAACCCCAAAGATCATCCCGGGAACTGCCACTCAGCCTCATGTTAGATGGGTTTTCTGGAAGCTTCCTATGTAAGTGGCGCATCTCAGAACAAGTCCATTTACTATGGACAACATGAACAACATGTACATGTGTTGTGGACCATGGCAACTACACATACATTGGTCAGCACCCTCTTGTGTACATCATTGACCTTTATTTTTAATACCACCACTTTATTTGATCTTTGAAGTTTGTCATGTAAGTTATTGCTTTATTAATGTCCTGATTGCTATGTGAAATAAAAACTGGTATCCAAGCGATGGTGCTCCTTGGGGTCATTTTGTATTCTGGAGTATAGATGATAAGAGTGGGTCAGATTGGTTCATCTCACCTATCTGTGACAAGATAATCAATTGTGTTGATTTTACAGGAACCCAAGTGTTTGCAATAAAACCGTCTTGTAAAATCGTGCCTGTGTATATAATCAGATGCCAGTGAATCAGAAAGCACTGTCCTAGACTCCTTGACTGAACTGAAAGTAAAAGTGGCCTCAGCATATAATAAAAAAAAAAGTGTTTAAAAAAAAAGTGACCTCAGCATGTGGGGAACTAGACAAGAGCCCAGTAAATGCCAGTAAGAGAATCAGACTGGTTCAGGTGAATATGTGAGTCAGGACCAGGAAGGAAGAAATGTGAGCGATGGACATATTAAGATATTAAGATATGGGGCGGCCGGGCAGTGGTGGCGCACGACTTTAATCCCAGCACTCGGGAGGCAGAGGCAGGCGGATCTCTGTGAGTTCGAGGCCAGGCAAGACCGAAAGCCTCCAAAACAATACAGAGAAACCCTGTCTGGTAAAAAAAAAAAAAAAAAAAAAAAAAAAGATATGGGGCACTAGAGGTGGTACATGGAGCTGCTTTCTGCCTTCAGTATTCCCTTCAGATACAGTCTCATTCATTTCTAGGTGTGCTTTGAGATGTCCCACCACACACAGTTTCCTACTGTAGAGAAGGCTGTGACCAATACCTACACGGACGGCAGCCCAGAAAGGTCCTTAACAATACTGATTGGTTTTATCAACTTGATTCAACCTAGACCCTTTGAAGAAGGAAGCGCAATCAATGCCCCACCCGACTGACCTATGGGCAAACCTATGTTGCATTTTCTTGATTAATGATAGATGTAGGAGGACCCAACTATTAAGGCCTGTGTTGCCCCTGAGCTGTACAAGAAAAAAGGTTGAACAAGCTAAGAGGAGCAAGCCAGTAAGCAGTGTTCCTCTGTGGTTTCTGCTTCTATTTCTGCTCTAGTCCCTGCCTTGTATCTCCTCGGTGATGGAGTGTGACCTGAGAGTTGTAAGCTGATAAAATTCCTTCCTCCCCCAATTTTTTTTGGTCATGGTCTTTATCATAGCAATAGAACCCCTACTAAGACCCTGACTTCCAGGGCAGAATGATTCCCTGAGTCCATTATAACCCATCTTTGTGGTATGAATGAGCCTGTCCAGGCTCATGAAATGTTGAGTGCTGACTCCTGGACCTCTTCGTTTTCAGTTTACATGATAAGCACTAATCCTAACACATGGAGAGACACCTAGAGCCACTTAGCTTACTCTGAGCAAGTTAGTTATGATTTATCCTTTCCTATATTATTCATGACAAAAAGCAAAAAGAAATTATTTACAAAGATTCATACATAACACACATAGGTACATATATCTAGTTTTTGTCCACACAAAAATGAATTTTTACAGAACGGTGACAATGTATTTTGATTGTTTTGAGGAAGGTCTCATGTCTCCCAGGCTGCCCAAATTCATTATATTGGAGGATGACCTTGAACTTCTGATTGTCTTGCCTCCATCTCCGAAGTACTAGAGTTACAGGTGTGTACCACCACGCTTGGGTTTCACGTGGGGCTGGGGATCGAACCCAGAGCTTCATGCATGCTAGGCAAGCACTTCATTCCACCCACTGGGCCGTGTTCTATCCCCCACCAGCATAGCTTTCATTCTTTTTGGTGTGTGAATTTCCAGTTTGCTGTGTGAATGCTGTTATTGTTGCTTTTATTGTACACAACATTTCATCAAATTGATCTGGTGTAACTTAGATGTTCTCATCTAATTGAACGTTGAATTTTCCCAACATACTGCTGTTAGAATCAGTGCTGCAGTGACTGTTTTGTGGGATGCCTTCCTTGCCTTTGAACGTGCCCTGAGAAGTGCTCCCCTGCATCAGATAGCATTGCAGACTCGGGTCCCTTTAGTTCCCCACAATGCATTGCAACACTACCCTCTGCTTGGTGTTTTCCCTTCACCTCCACCAGACCTTAATGAACTCCTTTACCTAACTTTTGAAATACATACTGCCTGTATGTCTTTTTCTTCCCTCATTATTTGCCCATCCTCTGTAGAAGAGGAGGACAACGTGGTTGTCCTGTTCACCAAACACTGAATCTTTGGGGGAGCTCAGAGTGGCTCTAAAGTCCAGCTGTGTTCCCTGTAGTGGGGTGTCAGCTCCTGCAGGACAAGCCCTGAGATAGCCACACAGTTGGGATAGGGGCACAGGTCTGGCTCAGCTGTCCCCTGAGCCTGTAGTAAGTAACACCCCAGGCTCCATCTTTCTCTGCCTTGATAAAATAGTGGATGCTGCCTGGACCAACACAGTCTCCTCAGGTACCTCAACAGGAAGACCTGGAGGGACGGTGCTAGCTAATAAATGCTATGGGGAGAGAAGCTTTTCCTGACGTTTGAGATTTAAAAACTGAAGATGAAGGCTGGGATGGTAGTTCAGTCTGTAAAGTAAATATGAGGACCAGGTGTGATGAGCCAGAGCAGACCTGTATGTAATTCCAGAGTTGGGAACAGGACAAAGTCGGGTTCCTGAAGCTTGGTGGGCTGGTGGAGGTGACTGGGGAATGACAACCGAGACTGTCCTCTGGCATCAATGTGCACATGTCTATATATCCACATACCAACATGCACCCCCCCAACTCAGCAGATAACAATCAGCTGGTACATGCTCTCAAAATACAAGATGATGAGCAAATCCAGTGAGGCCAGAGGGAGGCAAAGGACATGTTGTAACTGTGGCCTTTGTGTGATGGCAGGTGTCGTGCAATGCCCAGAAAATCATTTCTAGCGTACCACCATTCCCAAAGTAAAGGAGTCAATGCTAAGGGTGTGACTGTATGTCTGCCTTGCCAGGTGAGGTTTTAACTTTTAAGGCTGAGCAGAAGGGTGGCTCTTCCTGGCTCTAGGAGCTGTGGGTCTGCAGGGCAGTCAATGGCCACCTTCGAGAGCTTTGTCTTGAGTGGCAGCATCTGACTGTTTCATACCCAGAAAGGTCAGGGGTCTTCCAGATCGTGGACAGATGTGGCATAGTGTGCTGGTGTAACTTTGATCTCAGGTCATCCCTAACACCATGGGAAACTTGTCCCTTGAACATTTTGGGGAAGTTTTCCTGTGTCTGTCCTCTTAGCAAGAAACAGGCCTAGGATAGAGAAGGGTACAGTCACCAGCCCTATCCCCAAGGTCAGGGCAAACAGATAGTCACTCTGCTGAAGAGCAGGGACCTCTGTGTGACTCTGATCAGCCTCCTGGGAAGAGAAGACAGATGGGTGGGGAAGACCGAGGCCAAACTAAGCTACTCTCATTCCAGCCCCAGCACCCTTCTCTTCTTGAGCCTCTTTCTTCTCGTACCATCTATTAACTTACGACAACCGTGGGAAATCTGAAAATCACTGCCATTAATTAGAGCTCTGTGAGTGCTCTCAGGCTCCCCCGAGCTCTGTCTTACACGCTGATGTGCTAGCAAGAAAAAGTGAGTCTCTCCTTGCTTGGTCCCGATGAAGTCCCTTCTCCTTAAGTCAGGAAGTATTTTTTCCAGGTTACTGAAAGGGTCCCCAAATCAGGAGACACACTATGTAAAAGCTGTTCTTCTCCAGACATGGCTGGGAGCCAGCCAAAGTGTGTGGTTGGGTGTAATTTATGGTTTTGCTTTGAACCACAGTTGATGGTTGAGTGGAACGTTAATAAATCATGTATTTATTCCCTAATCTCATAGTAAAATGGCCCCATGGATGGACATAGGGACTGAAGGGACTGACCAACACGGATAGCACTCCTGAGGACAGTGGAGTGTTGCTGTGTCTCTTCTCTGTGGTATTTTGCAAGAATTCTGTAGTAGCCAGTGTGCTTCTCTGCATAAACTCCGTACATTCATGGTAATCTTTGCTCCCACTCTTTTCTAAAGTAAACTTTTTATTATAGTTTTACTTTTTTTTAGTGTGGGGGCTCATTGTGCAATGTTTTTGCTCTTTTGGCTTTTTGGCTCTTTTGAGAGCCCACCACCCAGCTCCCAAGTAATCACACATGCAGGCTTATTCTTAGTTATAAATGCCCAGCCTTAGCTTGGCAAGTTTTATCAAGCTTTTCTTATCTTAAATTAACCTGTCTACCTTTTCCCTCTGGGCTTTTATCTTTCTTACTTCTGTATATCTTACTCTCCTTACTTGGTGGCTGGTTGGGTAGCTGGGTGGCTGGGTGGCTGGGTGGCTGGGTGGCTGGGTGGCTGGGTGCCTGGGTGGATGGGTGGCTGGGTGGCTGGGTGGCTGAGTGCCAGGGTGCCTGGGTGCCTGGGTGGCTGGGTGCCAGGGTGCCTGGGTGCCAGGGTGCCTGGGTGGCTAGGTGGCTGGGTAGCTGGGTGGCTGGGTGTCTGGGTGTCTGGGTGTCTGGGTGCCTGGGTGCCTGGGTGCCTGGGTGCCTGGGTGCCTGGGTGCCTGGGTGCCTGGGTGGCTGGCCCCTGACCACCTCCTCCTCTCCTTGCTCCTCCTCCTCAGTTCTATTTTACTCTCTACCTGCCAGCCCCGCCTATGCTTTCTCCTGCCTCACTATGCACTGTTCAGAGCTTTATTAGACCATCAGGTGTTTTAGACAGGCAAAGGCTCACAGCTTCACAGAGTTAAACAAATGCAGCATAAAAAGATTCCACCCCTTATAGGGGCTTGCATATGCCGCAGCGCACGACTGAGGTCGAAAAGGACAACTCGTGGGAGTCAGTCTTTTCCTCCTGCCACGTAGGTTCTGACTCAGGTCATCAGGCTTGGCAACGGTGCCTTTACCCACTGAGCCATCTTGCCTGCCTCCACCTAATCATTAAAACTCTCCTCACACTGGATTGGTCAAATCCAACAGCATCTTTCTGACCTGGCTTTGGGAGCCTCTGAGAAGGACTGCACTGTGAGCCGACCTCCTTCTGTTGAACTTCCCGGCTATCTGGGGTAGCTCTGAATCATCTCCTTCCACTGCTGCTTCTAGCTCGTAGCTGCTGGGAGCTCCCACAGTGCCCACTGCTCCCTGCTTTTCCCGATGCCGGTCAACCTGCCAGTTCTGCTGCTCTCAGAATGGCCAGTATTGTCTCCTCTGTCCAAGGCTACTTTGGATTCTTGTCATCTTGAACTCTTACA